GGGGTGACCGCAGTCCACAGGAACCCCACATGAGGCAGCAGGGCCCCGTGCTCCGTGGGCCTTCCTGTGGTTGGTTTTACATAATCACTCGGCAGACTTTTCTTCCAGGTAGAACCCAAGCCACGCCCACTGCCACCCAGTCCACCCTGACCACAGCTGCCCCAGACCATAGGGACGCCCACTGCCACGGCTTTCATCCAGGAAGCGGCTGGCGGGCTTGAACCACCAACCCCTTGGTCTTCAGCCCAACACTGTAGTCGTTGTGCCACCAGCCCTGGGCATGCGTGTGTGGGGATTTACGGAGCTACACAGGGTTGCGCCGCTGTGAAGAAGCCTGGAGTGTTGTGAGCATTACCAAAACGTGCCTCAGAGACAGGAAAGGCACACGGGTTGTTGGGATACGGGCTGCCCGATGGCCTTGCTCAATACAGGGCTGACACAAACCTTCGGGATGTTTAAAAAGTGGGAAAAAACGCAAACTAAACCACACAGCTCCTGAGAAGCACCGCAGAGCCCAGGACCGTTTCCAGTCTGGTGCTGCCCCCCGGTGGTGGCACACGGAACTGCAGCCCCTATCCAGTGACGCGAGCAGACTCGAGGGCCGCAGGTGGCACGGGCCCCCTGCTCACCTCGGTGAGGTACTCGGCGTGGTGCTTCGTGGCCACGAACACCACGGTCTGGTCCTGGGGTCGCACCACGTTGCGCAGCAGGTGGAGCAGCACGGCGGGCTTGGTGTCCTCGCGCACGTGGAGAAAGGTGGTCTGGGGGGAAAGGGCGCAGGCAGGTTGGCCTGTGAGACCTGGCTGCGGCCCGGTGGGGAGGGGGAGGATGGGGGCTGGGGGACCCTCACCTTGAGCTGCTCGTTTAGTTTGGCGTCCACGTCCAGGCGGATGAGCGAGGGCTCCGTGAGGCCTGTAGGAGAAGGCTCCGCTCAGAGAGGGCGGCAGAGGGACAAGCATCCTGCCCAGCACGCACACACGCAAGCACGTCCCCTGCTCACTAACCGGCCCGGGCAAACTCCACCAGCAGTTTGGGCAGCGTGGCTGAGAACAGCACGGTCTGCTGGCCCCCGGGGAGGCGGCTGATGATCTCCTGCAGCTGCTCAGCAAAGCCCATCTCGAAGAGTCTGGGGGGAGGGGGGAGGGAGGGTCAGGGGAGGGGGTGCCACTGTTGCACCCAGTAGGGCCACGCCCATCTATCGCCGCTCCGAGTTCTGGACGAGTGGATTCACCCTGCGTCCCCACCCAGGCCTCCTCCTGAGCAAAAGGAACCCAGAAATCTTGGGTCCGCTGGCTTGGTTCTCTCCCACAAGTCTGCACTCCAATAAACGCTCACGGTCCTCACAGTCCTCGTGCTCCACACTCATGAATCGTCCACCCTTCACAGTGGCCCGGTGAGGGACGGGTAACTGCACACCCGTCTTCTACAGCTACAACAACGAGCGCTCAGGGACCTCCAGAGACCAGCCCAGGTTCACAGAATCGGGAAGGAGTAGCTGGCTCTATACACGTGCACTTAGGTTTGTCCTGATTTGTTTTAAAATCACTTAACAAAAAGCCCAAGCATTTATGGTTTAATTCTTTTGGATACTCCTAAGAATAATGCATATGCATGCATCCAGGGGAGCCCTTGAGACCAGTGTGGGGAGAGGCTGCAGCTTCCGCAGGGGTCTTCTCTGCGTCCCCCTGGCTGGCCCGCTCCCCTCTGCTTTCCCAACCTCAGAACACACCGAAGCCAGGGCCCAGGAGTGTCTGCAGCCCTACCTGTCGGCCTCATCAAACACCACATACTCCACGCTCTGAAGCTTCAGGTTCATCTCGACAGCCACGTGCATCAGCCTCCCAGGGGTCGCGATGATTCTGGAAGGGGATACGCAGACCAACTGAAACCCTGGGTCAGGGCCACCACCCTCCTCCTCCTCTGGCCACCTGGCCCTTGGCCACCCCCACCCTCACACATCACCCTCAGTTCGCAAACTCACATGTCAGGATTTTCGTGCAGGGCGGCAAACTGATCTTCCATTCTAGGGAGGAGAGGAGGTGTCAGCTTCACTGCGTGGTGATCTTTAGGCTCTTTTTCTAAACAATGCCACAGCCACCCCCCCCATCCCACGAAGGGAGACCCTAAGCTTCAGGTAACGGACAGGCTGAGATATAAGGCAAAGGCATTGCCTCGGCAAATTGAGCCATACAAAATAACTGGTTACAAAAGAGTTCATCAAAGACTTGGGCTCAGCCGTAAAAACCACCATTCCCACTCGACTGGAGCCACAGCACCACCTAGCAACAAACCCTGGAACTGCTGGCTCCGGCGAGAACCCAGCGTCCCCGCAGCTCTAGGCACCACAACAGAAACACAAGCCCACTGCCATGAAGTCAGTTCTGACTCCCAGAGACCCTATACGGGGCCTTTCAAGGTTGTGTTTACAGGAGCAGACAGCCTCATTTGCCTCCTTCCTTGCGGCTGGTGGGATCAAACGACTGACTTTCCAGTTAGCAGCCTGATGCTTTCGGGACAGCACTGTGCATGGGGGCTCCTTTCGTGTCCCCAGGTGCCTGTGTTTAACTCTGACCACACCCTCACAACATCAGTGCTCCTCCCAAACGCCCCCAGGAAACAATCCCACAGCAGCCGGAAACTGGAGCCAGGAGATGCAAGGAGACTGGCTTCTGAGCCCGGTCCGACCACTGCATCACTGCGTGGCCCTGGGCCCCGTGTGCTGGGCACATCGGTGAGGCAGACTCACGCAAATCTGAGTCCAACCAAGCACTGCCTCCACAACCAGGCATATTAAAACAGCCACACCCAGGGCTGGACTTAGGACCTTGAGGGGCACAAAGACGTCTACGAAGCCCTCAAACAACCGGATCGCCCCCCAAAGTTTTCCTCAAACCCAACACTGGTATAGCTTCACTGATTAAAAATGTCTGCCTTGAGCATCCTGCTCTTTAAGAACTATCCCGATGGGGTCCA